CGCATGCAAAAGATTAAACCTAGACCCATATTTCTCACCATCCACATTAAAATGGATCAAAGATCTAAGTATAAAAACAAAAACACTTACTTGCTGGAAGATACAATAGGTAAAACTGTAGGAGATTCAGTGTAGGCATTTATGAAGAAAACCCCAACTGTACAAGAACTGCTACAAAAAATCAACAGGGAGGATCCCATCAAATTAAAAAGATTTGCACAATGAAAGAGACCACAGAGTGAAAAGACAACCCACAGAATGGGAAAATACTTTTGCCGGCTGTTCCTTAGACAAAGGACTAACATTCAGAATATATAAAAATTTTTTAAAAACCAGAACCCCAGGGGCTGGGGATTTAGCTCATTGGCACAGCGCCTGCTGGGCAAGTGCAAGGTCATGAGTTCGATTCCTGATACCAGAAGAAAAACAAACAAACAAACAAAAAACCAGAACCCCCATTTAAAGACCCAGCCCAAAAATGGGCATTTGAAATGAATATATACTTCTCAGATGAAATACAAACTGCAAATAAATATATGAAAAAGTGTTCAACATCAGTGGTCATTTGAGATATGCAAATTAGAATAACACTGAGATTCCATCTTAGTCCAGAAAGAATACCTATTATCAAGAAATCAACAAACAACAAATGCTGGTGAGGCTATGGGGGAAAATGAACTTTTAAAAATTATTATTATTTTTAACTTTTGAGAGAGGGTCTCACTATGCAGTTCAGGCTGGCCTGGAACTCACTATGTAACCCAGGTTGGCCTCAAACTCATGGCAATCCTCCTGCCTCAGCCTTTGGAGTGCTGGGATTATAGGAGTGCTCTTCCTCCATGCCAGACTAAAACAACCCCCTTTTTTCTTTCTTTCTTTGTTTAAATGAACCCTTTCTCATTGGTGGGAGTATAAACTGGTACAGCCATTGTGGAAATAAGGATGAAGATTCCTCAAAAAACTTAAACTGGAGATTTCATTTGACCTAACTGTGCCCCTTTTAGGTATCTTCCTGAGAGAGTTAAAGGCATTGTACCACAGTGACATATGCGCACCCATATTTATAGCAGCACAATTTATAATAGCTAAGTCTTGGAAACAGCCCATATGCCCAATAACAGATGAATGGATAAAGAAAATGTGGCATTTCTATACAACAGAGTACTATTCTGCCATAAAGAAGGATGAACTTGGGTCATTTTTAGCTACATGGATGCACCTCAAGACCATAATTTTAAGTGAAATAAATCAGAAGACACAAGTTTAAGTATCCCATTAGTTCTCTTGTATGAGAAGCCCAAAGGGTAAATAAGAAGCAAAATGGAAGAAAGATCGCAGGAAGTAGGAAGAACATGTTCAAATGGGAAGGGGAAAAAGGGACGGGGTGTGGGAAGAGAAGAAAGGGAAAAGGAATTTTAAAAATAGAATGGAAGTGAAAGAATGGAAACAAAACTTTGTACATGGAGTGGGGAAGAAGGGCTGACGGGCAGAAGGGGACTGAGAAAAAAAGATGAATTGAAACATACTGTGTACGGGTACGCGTTCTGTATGATGAATGTAATCATTACGTGTGGTAGGTAAAGAATGCAAATGTTGTAATGAAACAAATATAGAAACAAATTTATTTTGTTTATACATTACCTTGCCTGTAGCATTCTGTTACAGAAGCACAAAATGAACCAAGAAAATAGTGATGTGGCTTGAATGAATCCTTCAGCCCTCCTGAGCCTGTTTTTTCATCTGGAAAATGGGTATAAATGTGCCTACCTCAGAGGCCTACAGGAAAACCTAAAAGAAATTTGCCAAGCACAAGGTCTAGTGCTTAATCCTCAGCCAAGAGAAATTAAAAAATGTATTCTCTTCCTCTTCGGCACTGGCCTTTCCTCTAAGAGTCTTCAGAACCCGAGAGAGTTTTTAAATGTAGTTTTGTTTTTTGAGCCAGGGTCTCGCTATGTAGTTCAGACTGGTCTTGAACTTGCTCTGTAGCCCAGGCTGGCCTCAAACTGACAACAATCCTCCTGGCTCAAGCTCCTGAGTGCTGGGATTATGGGTGTGTGCCTCCACATCAGGCTCCCAGTTGCTTTTTATATTGATTGATTGACTGAGACAGAATCTTACTATGTGGTTGGCTTTAACTCAGTATGTTATCCAGGCTGGCCTCGAACTTGCACTCCTCCTGCCTCAGCCTCTGGAGTACTGGAATTATTGGAAGCGCCACCACGCCCAGCTTCTCAGTTGCTTCTGGGAAGCAGTTGAGCGTCTTTATAAAGACAATTCTCCTTCTAATTGGCAGATACTTGACTACAGAAATAAATTCCAGGGAAGTAAAGTTTTCCTCCCGGTTGATAGCACAGACACAAGGCTTCACTGAACAATGAACTGAACTTAAAGAAAATCTGTGCTACTACTTGAGGGAAAATAAAGAATGACTCATGAGGTGTGGTGTCCCAGCACATCCCAGAGCAGCTACACTGCACCAACGGTCTGGGCCAGGGTGGGGCTCCCGTAGTTGCAAAGTGTGCTATGTGGGAGTCAGTTATTACCATTCAAAAAAAGAACAAGAGAGGCGCTTGTGAGTAACTCAGGCTGCAGAGTAATATATTACATTAGATATGCTGTTAGGAGCAAAAAGAGCTTCGCCTGCTAGGGCTGTACACAATTCTGGGTAGGACTTTGGTAAGGTACCTTGCAAATGAATGTCACCTGAACAAATGCCAAAACTAAAACAGATTGTATATGCTGTTTAAAGCAGATTGGAGAACATTTTGGGGGACTCCAAGATAACTAATTATTTTATCCTTCCATTTCTTGAAACAAGCATTTTTTTGAGACAGGGTCTTACCATGTAATTCACGCTGGCCTTGAACTCACTATGTTGCCTAGGCTGCCTCGAACTCACAGCAATGCTGCTTGCTCAGCCTCCTGAGTACCGGGATTAAAAGTGTGTGCCACCACACCACACCTGTCTAGGGGTATAAAGTTACATGATCTGAGAAAGCATCTCTACTGAGTACTAGGGCAGTCTAATACAGACAGAGACCATTTGGATTCCGGGAAGGAAAACATTTTTTTTGTTTTGTTTTGTTTTTTTCTGGTACTGGGAATCGAACTCATGACCTTGCTCTTGCCAGGCAGGCGCTATGCCACTGAGCTAAATCCCCAGCCCCTGGAAAACATTTTGAATTGCAAAGTATTGTACTCCAGCTGTTATCATTGCTAACATTGTTGGCAACATCGAACTCCTTTATAAAAGACAAAGACATAAGCTGGGCATGCTGGTGCACACCTGCGATCACAGCACTCTGGAGACTGAGGCAGGAGGACTGTGAGTTCCAGACCAGTATGGGTAATACAGCCAGACTCTGTGGGGGAAAAAAAAAGATTAGCGTTGGGAGCACCATTTAATAAAACTGTATTTAAAGGGAGCAAGAGGGTGTGTATGTGAGATATCAGAAACACATTCTGCGCAAGGAGAGGCAAAGACGATTTTGTACTTCTGTTTAGATGACAGGGACTGAGGTAAAAGGCATTTGTACAAATTTGTGCTAATAGACTTTCAAACTGAGAAAAACAAAACACCCAGGTGTAGATTAAGTTCTGCTGTGAAAAAAAAAGCTAGAATACTTTACTTTGACTTCTGAAGTTTAAAAATCCTATTTAATAGCAGCAAAAATGGGACCTGTTTTTAGTTTTAAAAGAAGCAGTGTGACACAAGAATGCAAGAAGCACCCTTGAGTCCCTAATTTATTGCCGTGTCATCCCGAGTGTACCAGGCCTTTTGAAGGGTAAGAGCAGAAGTGTGTCCCAGGTCGCTCTCCGTTATAAACCACCCAGTGAGCTCCCTTCAGTCCAGGGCAGGGTTCTGGACTTTGGCCACACGGTCTCTGGGACACAAGGCCCTTACAAGATGTCCCTCCACCCCACGTCCTCCTGGATATAGGACGTGGAGTTCACCACCTGCACTCCTCCAGGCGCTGCCTAGATTGCTGAGCAAACACATGCTATTTGCAAAAGTACTGCAACAGCAAGCAGAAACGCGGAAAGGACACCCGGGATTTGGAGGCAGATTTATTTATGTTGATGGGCACTGATCAGTATCCTTCCCAGAATGTCAGGCCCTGATCTCTGGTGGTCTAGGACTTATGTGGGACAAGCACACAGGAAGTACAGAGGCAGAATGGCTTGTCAATTGGGAATTGGTTCTTACAATGTGCATCACAGCGACCAGCTGTTTCTAAGAGACAGGAGCATCTGGAACTGGTACAGGAACTATCACCTGGGCAACCAAGAAACTGAAGTATACTGGCTGGGGGAGTGGAGGGAGCATTTTCTGCTACAGTGCAAGGTTCGACATGTGGACCAGGAAAAACCAAACACGGAAGAACAGCAGCAGCTGGGTGGGGTGGGGTGCAGGGACAGCGAGGGGATCGCCCTTGGCATGGCTGAGGCGCAGGGGGCTGGAGAAGCCACTGCCCAGGATGCCTCTCATGCTGCACTTCCTGGGGCTGTGGCTCTGGGAGGATGCAGCGTGCGAGCCGCCCCGCTGTCTCCCTGTGGCCTGGGCCCACCACATTCCCCAGGGACTCTCCAGGGGACTCCTGGTCACCACCGGTTCCTCCCCTTGTCAGTGCCGGGCTGACACCTGAACGCATCCGTGGGCACCGGCTGAGCTCCTGGCACAAAGCTGTCTCCGGGTCCCTCGCACAAGTTCCTGCGGAAGGGACCACCGTGTCGCCAGTAGGTCCCTCTCCTTCCTGAGAGCCGTTCTCCTCTTCCTTAGAGCAGGACTGACACCAGCGGGAACCTTCCTACGCACCTCGCGGTGTGAGGATCCCGTCTTACAATGACAAGGAAAATATTTGGAAGATGGCAGCCTTGGCCGTTCGTTCATCTGGGCACTCACTTCTTTCTATCCTGAGCCCTTCCTAGGCGCGTGGAGCTGACCCCAGCCACTGGTCTTTCTTAGTGAGGTTTTGGAGTGACAAAGGACAAATGCCATTTCCAGCCCGAAACAAGGATTTTAAAAGCACAAGAAGCTGTCTTGACAAGTAAGTGCCTATTTAGTCACAAGAGTCTACTTTATGTCCAGTGTGGTGCAGGGCCCAGAGGTCCCGAGAGATGTCATTAGTTACTTTCCCTTATCTTGACTTGTCTTTTCTTTCTTTTTTTTTCTTTTTTTTTTGCTGGTATCGGGAATCGAACTCACGACCTTGCACTTGCCAGGCAGGCACTGTGCTGCAGAGCTAAATCCCCAGCCCCTTGACTTGTCTTTTCTTTATTTTAAATTCATCTTTACTTCCCACTCCTTAAAAAAGATGTTTCCCTGTGCCTTCATGTTTCTGCGTGGCAGTTTCTATGCCCTACTCCGCGTACACAGACCTAGAGTCCGGACCTAGGTACGGTGTCAGCGCCACCTCTGTGTTCCGATGTGCAAATGCTTGGCTTTGGGCAGCTGATGAACATAACTTAAGATATTTTAACACCTGTATACTATTATTTATCTTTTTATGGATATCTAAAAATAAGTACATAGTTGAAATTATTCAACTCCATGTAATTTAATGGCTACATTAACTTTGTTATACTGTCACCTACATTCTTGTCTTACTAGGATGTGAAGAAAGCCTGTATGTAAATGCCATTTGTAATGGACATTTTTCTGTTTAGTAGCCTACATCATATTTTACTAAATTATGCTGTCTGCTGTTAGAAATATGACTTATGTCCAGTTTCCACTATAGATAGATAGATAGATAGATAGATAGATATAGTTACTGCAATGGAAACCTTTCCCCTAAAGCTCTGTCTGCTTTTGGTTTACCTACTTAGTAGCAGACAGCTAAGAGAGGAATTCTGGGTCAAAGTTTATGAACATTTCCACAAACTTTTCACCTGATGATGGCAGAGGGGTAGCACTAAAATAGTGTGGATCATTAGAGATTTCACCAAGCAACTATGATTGATACCTGGCAAGGAAGACAGCAGCGTGGCAGAGACTCTTTTAGAGTTTTAGGGCCTTGTTCTGATTTTTATATCATATAATGATTGTTATATTAATTTAATACTGTTACAATATTTACATACGAGAGAGGTATATACTTTAGAGTCTCATTTTGGGATGTTTAAACAGCTTTATTCATAGCTTAGGCTTTTTTTTTTTTTTTTTTTTTGAGATAGGGTTTCACTCTGCAGTTCAGGCTGGCCTTGAACTCACTATGTAGCCCAGGCTCGCCTCAAACTCACAGTGATCCACCTGCCTCAGCCTCCCCAGTACTGGGTTTACAGGGGTGTGTCACCACGCCTGGCTCATAGTGTGCTCTTAAACAGAAGTTGGGAGATTACCTAGCAGCAGCAGTGACCACTGCTTCCTCAGAGTGCAAAGTGCGGCTTCTCAAGCAGTACTGACCCCCGGGTTATCACAGTTCTCATGACTAGAGAGCTAGAAAGAATCTTAGAGCTGTCCAGCGAAAACACTCATTTTACCAGTTGAAGAAACTGTAGCTCAGTCAAACTAATACAGTGGTTTGTAACCCCCACTGCATGTTATAATTAATGCAGATTTTAAAACACCCAGCCTCTATCCTCAGATATTCTGATGTATGTAGTCTGAAGTAAGACGCAGGCATCAGTGTTATTTAAAAGCTCCTTTGGTGGTGCTAACATAAATTAGAGTTGAGACGCTCTGGTACAGCTGGAAAAATATGGGCCTTACAGTCATCAATATCTGGTTCAAATCCCACTTTTGCTATGTATTAGCAGTGTAATCTTGAGTTAATTAATGAACTTTTTCTCCCCAGCTCTCATTTGTTAATCATCAGTTTGATGTGAGGGTTAAATTTAATAACATGTGATGTGTCTTCCAAGGTTCTTGTCCCATGATTGGCATTCAAAAATATTAGGTCTAACAGTAGATTCCATATCTTGCTGAGGGCAAAACTAAAAACCCAGCCAAACCATGCTGCACATCCAGGGGGCATTTAGCAAATTCTTGTTGATGTTCCTTACAGCATAATCTTGGAACACCCATATGCATGTTACTGAGAGAGTTCTAACTCTACCAGTGAGTTGATATTAATCAGAAAGGTAAAGCTTTACTACTGGGTTAATAATATCCCTTTGTTATTGCGGGCTGATCTCGTCCACAATCTCCCAAATGAGTGTACGGCAAAGGCTCAGTAAAAAGAGGCGAATGGAATGACTTCAGGGCTCCTGGAGGATCTAAGCCCTCTCACAGAACTCGACATTCTCTCAGGGCTAAGACCAAGACCTTCTCTGGGTGACCCATAATTATTTGGTTAACAGAAGAATGGAGGGGAGTACTCAAAAAGGGTAGAATTACTTCTCCAAATAAGGTATTAAATTAATCCTTAATAAGGATCAAGTTAACCCACCCAGGAGTGCGATGCCTGAGGCTATAGTCTTTATCTAGTTGAAGTTGGATCCAGGTGTGCTTGGCTGTGATCTTGTCTTATCCTTTGAGGCTTCCCGGCTTCATCCTCCATTACAGGTTTAAGTAGGAATCAGTGACTCACAGAGGTTCGCTTACTATAAGTCCTGCTGCCCACTTCGAGACAAGCAGCCTAGGCTTTGGACAGGTTCACAAGTAAACATGAAAAGCCAATTAGTTAATTTAAGTCCTGCTCAGAGTTGCTGCACAGTGGTCTCCATCGCTTTACTTACAGAAAATTATCTCATTTATTAGGCATTAATTTGCCTCCTCCTTTTAGTTCTTCAACTATAAAGGAACCTGTTTTTATTTTGATAAAACAATTATGATTGAACACTCACAAAAGAGATTCTTTACAATTACATAATTGTATGAAAATTTTGTGTAACTTGTATAATGTCAAGGGCATATCAATTAAATTGCTCTTTTAAAGGAACATGAAAATTGTGAGACCTCCTCTCCCATGACATAACTTTACTTCAGTTTTCATTGACTTTAATCTAAAGATCTGTACCATCATATTGTCTGTATCCTAGACAGATTGATGAACTGAGGAAAGCTGGATTTAGTTTCACAGGACCTAGGATTGAACCCTGGCTCTGTCATTCACTGGTTGAAAACCTTGGGTTGTAGACTTTCCCCCTTTTGCCATCTCATGAATATAATGAGGTCCTGGATGGCATGACCTGACTTTAGCACAAAATGAGTCTAGAGCCATGGTGCTTACCCAGAAGAACATGGTCATTAAATATTCGTTAAGCACCTGCTGTTCCTTCAGCCCCCAGTAGGAAACCCCGTGGGAATTATAAAGTCCTGGTCCTTCCGGAAGTACCTTGCAGTGTCAGTAGAAGAGATACAGCCCTCGTCTGAGGAGTAACTAGGGACCAGTTTCTACCTAACAGCTGTGATGAGCTCAGTCCAAGAGACTCATGCAAGGAATACCTGGGAACGCTTAGGAGACGACAGTCACGGAGAAATGGAGGGAGCTGAAATTTAATTTTCTGTCTCCTAGCACATTATTTGTCTTCAGTCTCTGACACAAAGTTCTAGGTAGTGATAACCTGAAACGAAACTGTTGTAAGCTGCACAGAGCCATGCATTTTCCTACCAGCACATTGCAGCCCTCGGACTGTCCATGTTCTAAGTCCCCATTATCTGCCTCGTTTCCAGCAGCTTTTCCAGAACCCCAGGCTTTTCCCCATCCCTCTTTGGACCTTGTGTGTCTCAGACAGCTTTGGATGGAGCCTATAACGTCTGAGAATTCCCAAAGGGGTACAGTATGCAAATGGTGGTTAGGAAATGTGACAGCAGGAATGTTTGAGCCAAGCCGTCTCACAGACAGACTCTGGGAGGAGGGCAAGTCCTGAACTGTGACTCACTTCCCTTGGCAGGGGTGAGCAGCTGATAAGACTAGTAGGCATTTTTGTCTAATCCCCTCCTAAGAACAACTCTCCAAGTACTTCAATTACCCATATGTAGTGTTCATTTCTAGCAGCTGCAAAAGAAACAACAGTGTCAGCCCTGCATCTATCCCCAAAAATAAAGCTGTGTGGATCCTGAAGATAGAAGAGGAAATTTGAGAAACTCAGAATGAAAGGATTTAACAAGAGCTGCCTGTAAAAGTTGATCTGAAAACTCTTAGAGCACTGGAAATGATTTCCTTAACAACGGAAGGAAAACTGACCAGGGGCATGGGTGTTTCACTTTTCAGATGAGAATAACAGTATCGCCAAGAGAAAGAGGTTGTCTTCTCTAATTGAGGCCCTCAGCCCAGCCACTGATTCCCTCAGTCTCAGTTTACCCATCTGTAGAATGAGTACTTGGCCCAGATAAATTGTAAGGTCCTTTCTGGCTGGAACATGCTGATTCTAGGCATTTTCAAGATTGCTGAATTATGCACTGCTCCGCCCAGAGAGATCTAACTTTTTGCAAAAGGTGAATAAGGCATAGTCATTGACTTTCCGATCAAGCAGATCTCAGCATCTCTGTGCTCGGTGCTGGGCTGGGATGACAAGTCTCAGCCGGAGGGAAAGACAGCTATTTTGAGGCAGGGCTGATTAGAGATAAACTGCCTCATTTCTTAGCCAGGCTCTGGTCCTGACTCACCCGAAGTTCCTGGACTTAAAGTTTCACCCCTGGAGGATGGACACAGGCTAAGCCCTCTGCTTGCTGCTGAACATGGTGCCCCGTGCACCACTTTTATCACCCTGGCTTTATCAGCTTTATGGGTGTCGAGAACATCTTTTGACTTTCCTTCTTAGCCAGCTTCTCTGAAGTGCAGCCCTTGCGTGTACCCTCTCCCCTTGACATCTTGTTTTCTGCTTTTTCCTGTTATTCAGAGTCTTCTGAGTTACACAAAGGGGATCAGCTCAGTAATCCTCTTAACAACAAAGAAATCCAGCCGCCTCGATAGGAGGGGGGATGGAAGTGTCGCAAGATGCTTGAAAGAAGCACTGGCCAACGCTGCAAAATCCTTCGGCATGGAAAAGTCCAGAACATGAACCACACAGAAAACCACCGTAGTTATACTGCTTGGAAAGCCAACAAAGTTAAACTACAAGGCGTGGCTACCCTGACATGTTTTAATTTAGGAACTTTTTTCTCAACATGGTTTTTAGAAGATATAATATTAGAAAGTGCCTGAGATTTTTTCCATTTATTTACAGTCCTGGTGTGTTATCTGTGATTGATTTGTTTATTTTTTGGCTTGGCACTGTTGGAAGCGCCCTGTGACATTTGACAGGACAGGACGGGGGCCATGGCTCGGGCAACGCTGGATTTTATACAGTTGCTTTGGTCCTAACAAGTTAGGTACGGAGTCGGGGGGAGGTGGTGGTTAAAAATTCACTTGTATTCCAAAGATTAGAGAATTCACTTCTTTTAAAAACAATATGGACCAAAACCCTGTCTTCTTTGTTTCGATACCGGGAATTGAACTCAGGACCTTGTGCTTGCCAGGCAGAAGCTGTGCCACGGAGCCATCTCCCCGGCCCTAAACCCTCTCTAATGAGAATAATCACACCTCTGATTGTTTTGGAAATTAACTTTCTTGAATTTTAAGTTTTCTTAAAAGGAAGGGACATAACCCAATGCAGTAAACATTGTTCTCCAAGGAGGTACAGAATCTCGATGACCCAGGACCTTAGGACAATTATATCTACCTCTTTGAAGTTCTTTCTTTTCACCTGTGAAGATAAATTGCAAGCATGCGTGGAATGAACAGCCGTGGAGCTGGGTGGTGTGAGAAGTAAAGCCCAGACTGGGCTCAGAGGCTAAATTCTAGTTTGGGCTCGGTCCCTACCAGCCGTGTGACCTTGACAAGCTCTCTTACCTCGCTGAAACTTGCTTCCCTCATTCATAATATAAGAAAGGTGCACAAAGTGATCTTTAAGTCCCTATCAGTTCTGATATTTAGAAGCAACTTATTGTTCGGAAGCAACTATTGTAAAAAGTTGGTGGCGCTGACATCAATGCACGTGATGAAGCAGTTCGGGCACCTGTGGCATCTTGGCGCTGTATTACACTTGTAAGATATGATGCAATATTCAATCACCTGTTTGCTCAGAAAATGCATTTGAGTACTTAGCTGTGCTAATTATCAGGATACAGATGTGGTTTTTTTTGTTTTGTTTTCTGTTTTTTTGTTTGTTTGTTTGTTTGTTTGTTTTTTCTGGTACCGGGAATCGAACTCATGACCGTGCGCTTGCCAGGTAAGCGCTGTGCCACTGAGCTAAATCCCCAGCCCCACAGATGTGAATAAAACCCAGTGCCTACAAGGAGCTGTCAGCAACACAGGAAACCTCCCTTTAAAAAGATATATTACTTACATGTTAAATCACTGGATTCACAGATTCTTAATTACCAAGTAATATACCAAAGAGACATTTTTGTTTGACCCCCTTTGGATGAAGGAAAGCCAGAGTCTCCTAATGATTACTTTTAACATTTTATCACAGAAATTTGAAATATGAGATAGGGAGGGAGGGACAGAGGGAAAGGAGGGGGAGGTGGATGAATACATAGGACCCTTATGTAAGCCTGAGCCAGCTTTAAAGAATTATCAACTTGTGGACTTCCCTGTACCTTCCCTCAAGTCTGGATTATTTTCAGAGAAAATCCAAGATATCACTCCATTTCATCTGCAGGTATTTAAGAATGTATTACTGGAAAGCAAACTTTTTTTAGCACATAACTACACTGCTTCCATGGATCTGTTTCCTGATCTTGCTAACTCACAGCCAATCCTTTTTTTTTTTTTTTTTTTTTTTT